CCCGATCGTGGCGCAAAACTTCAAATTCTACAACTTTCTCTCCCGTTTTATAATAAAAATACCCATAAAAAAAAAAAATTTCCCCCCGATTCTGTTCTCCACATAAAAAGTCGTTTTTGCGCTAATGAAAAAGGTCTTATGTTGATACTGGATCTTTTTTCCTTATGTTTGCATAATATTCTATCGTACGAATTGTGTTTCAGTTTTGCATTCTTTTCAGACTTTCTTAATTTTCTCTTTAATTCATCTAATGTCGAACTTAAGAGAAACTGATATGGTAGGGACGTATCCAAGAACGCTAGTCTTTAATATCATTTAACTTGTTTTACATTACTTGGTTAGCAAAAGCATAGGATCCAACATGCTCAAATAATTTGTGTTTAAATGTGGGAAAATTTGTTTGCAATAACGAGAAAAAAAAGATTACAACAGAAAAATACAACGTTCGGAAAACGAATTTCTTGGCAACAGTATTCCTAGTAATTTTTCTGTTTTTCTTCTTAGGAATGTTAGTGGAATATATAGCTGAACGCACGGTAGGTTTAACAGACAAATTTATGTATAGTATAATATCGGAAAAAATACCATTTACAGCAACTCGTCGTCCTACAACCATATTTGCAGACACCGAGAACTTTTTCCATTCAATTACCTGGTGTCATACGCCATTCGATGCTAAATTCAATGCTGAATACAGGAATGAAAATACTTATTTCTTGAAAGTTTATTGTAGTCGAGAAAATCATAATATACCTGCCGGATTATGTCCCACAATCGATAATTGAAGCTGTTCTCGCACACTTCTAATTTCGCCAAGGTTTTGAGAACAGATTCTGATAGACCAAACATTACAGTGTATAACCATCTGATCGATTAATCACCACCACCTACTTCGAGAAAATATTCAGTCATTGTTCTACAAATCTCTCTTTAGTGCCCAGCTGGCGAACAAATCCAAGAAAGCCTAAAATAATATGTTTCTCATAGATTGTCGCTCTATTTATTGGTAGAAAAAGCAGGTTAATTGGTCCAATATTTACCGAAAAGGAGATATATCTTTCCATGACATGCCGTAACTAAAAATGCGTGATATGCAAAAATCGAGAGATATGGATTTCTATGAGGGAACAGATTCAAATGTTAGCTAGATACTATTGACAGATTTTTCTTCTTTTTATACCTTTATTTGACTCTAAAAGAAGCCCACCAAAGAAACATTACACAACCATTTCTAAACCCTTTTAGGTTTCGTAGAAGACAAGTTGCAGTATGAAACCGTTTAACTGTATAAATTCTATCGGTCTTTTTTTAAAAAAAATTTTCTGAGCAAGTGGATCATTACTAAAGAGAGATTTGTAGAACAATGACTGAATATTTTCTCGAAGTAGGTGGTGGTGATTAATCGATCAGATGGTTATGCACTGTAATGTTTGCTCTATCAGAATCTGTTCTCAAAACCTTGGCAAAATTAGAAGTGTGCGAGAACAGCTTCAGTTATCGATTGTGGGACATAATCCGGCAGGTATATGACGAAGATAATGTTTAAGTTAAAACCAACAGCGACTGAATAAACTTTTATGTATTCTTCTAAAGTATTAGTAATTTTATATGTCTTATTTCTAGCACCTTATAATGAAAGTGTGTGTTGGTGAAACCTTTTGTATTGGTTACCGACTTCAACTTCTTCATATAACCTTTCTTATTCTTCATTGACTAGTAAATGGTATTGCTTCTACTTGGTAGAAGAATTGGCATTCTTCATTAGTTGTTCGATGTTAACGTATAATTGACCTATTTTAATTCGAAATAATGATTTTCGATAAATTCGATAATAAATTTGAATACTAATGTTTAAATTGCTGATTTCTGATCGCTATTGATGCTGATGTAATTTCTCCTTTCCTCTCGAATTTAAAAAAAGAAGTGGTGATTTAGAACTGTACTGCAGTTACGATCCATCAGAGCCACAATTTTCAATATAAAGATAAAAATATTAATGCCCTTTTCATAACTGTTTAAACTGTCAGCTATGGGAACTTTTAATATTCAACACCGATTTCTAATTCTCAACTTAGTTTTTGAATTGTGTAAACCCGTCGCAGTCATAGTGACTAGCATAAAGAGTGATTTACTGATATGTGCTACTGAGAGAACTTTCAGGTATAATTGTATAGCCAAAGTCAGACAGACGTATTTATTCAAATGTGAGTGGGTATAAGCTCATGTTCTAAATGTTTTGTACTATTTCTTGCAATAAGGTTTTATGTGGTTGGACATTCTTCTTGTATCCTTAGTTTTTAGCACGACTGAAGCCGCGTAAATCTGTCTTATCTGAAATATTTACAGACAAAGATAATTTCTAAAAACAATTTACCACGAACCACATCCGGATTTAATAACTTTATTACAAAGCTGTTTTCAATTATATGCATGCGACTGACTTTAAAAGAGTACAAGCAGATTAAAACACATATTCAGCACTTTTTGAAGATTTACCAAAGTGATATTGTGTGAGGTACAGGAACATATCACTTCTAGTTATCGTACAGAAGAAACGGAACGGGATCTCGTCCAAGGCGTTTATTTGTAAAACACTTTTCAAGATGTGAGGACAACGAAATCTCGGCGTATAGGCACACTAATAACCTTTCGCCTGCAAACCTCGTTTGTTCGCAGTCGAAGGATGACGATCATGATGATGAGAGAAACGATACCGATAAATAGCTAGTGACGATGGGCAAAACAGAGAGCATGAATGTAGATTAGTGCTTAGAATACAATGAGTGTCATTGGTATGTAGTCCATAAAGTTAATGAATGTTAAAATAGACTGGGACCTTCTGCAATTAGATGTACTAAGTATAATTGCACTGGAATAAAATCATTCATTGTTGTTGCGGACGGTGGGTCTGTGTGCTTTGTGTTAAGACGCAATTTAGATAACAATCGAACTAACAAAAGGGAATTTTCTTTCTTGCAAAATGTATTTTACAGAAAAAGCTGTCCCAATTACTCGTCCAACTTGATAACCAAAAATGGAGTTTATCGTTCATCTTTGTACTTTCACAAAAAATTTCTACCGTCTCTTAGATTAATTAACATAACAATTCCACTATCTCTTAACAGTGCCTATACATTAGAAGATTCTATCTGCGAGAGGCGCTGACCTCTTATCTAGCTCAAAATTTATCGTTTAACTTGAATGTTTTATTTTTTTGAAGAATACTGTGTGTTCTTATCTTTTACTTGGGCTTTAACTTACATATGTCAATATTCACAACAGAAAGTGTATGTCGAAGAAAGAACAATCATCTTTATCTCAGTATTTTAAAGAGAAAATAAGAAAGCCAAAGCTGTACCTACCTGGAATGTATACAGCCGGATAAGTGCGTAGGGTGCCACCATACCCATCAAATCAAAACAAGTGGTGAAAATCAGCCACATTCACATATAGCAACATCAACAACAGTGAATCTAAACCAAGGGGGAAACAGCTGATTTTCACCGATTTTTGTCGATTTTGCTGATTTTCATCGATTTCCACCAAATGAAAAGTCACTGGAAATGACTGGAAGTCATTGAAAATCACAGAGAATTAGTGAAAATCAATTGATTTTGAGTGATTTTCGATTTTTTATTTTGGGCTGATTTCAGTCTGCTGTTTCCCCTTTGATCTAAACCCACCATTTTATGCACTCATTTATATTATGAAATTATAGTTAGGAGAGGAATGCATTTATTATGTCAATAAAACAGATTTTTTTTTCTTTTTTCTTGAAGTATATTAAATAAAGTTTCAAACTGTAACCTTTCTTTTTATGATGCAACAACACATTTAATGGAAATACTACCGTTTGCTTGAGTGCGTAGTTGAACGCAGGCAGAAAAGAAGAAGTCGCGTTTTCACATATATATGATTTGTTTTTATGCCTGTTTATTTAGCAGTCAGAGAAAAAACGTTTCATTTAAGAGCCTACGTTTTAGAAAACCAGAAAGAGAGAAAGGAATGGATATGATTTAATTTTGGAAAAGTGTGCGCATTTTCGCACGAATTAGTCTAGAGTAGTTAACATACTGTTGATATTTTTCTATCGTAGAATGTAGAGAATGTAAAATTAACAATAATGGACGCACATTAGTCCAAGTACCATTTCTTCGCTAGATAATCAGCAGGTAGATGTTGGGTAACATTATCGTAATAACAAAATATGCAGTTCAAAACTAAATAGCTTCTGATTGTTTACAGTAATCAGTACATTAAATTTTTTACATCAGAAAGTTGGTGGCTTCTCTATGATTTTTGAGCAGCAGTCATTACTTCCATTCTCATGTTTATGCCAATAATTCTAGAACATCGATAGTATGTTTACGTTCTGTTTGCACAATAAATAACTTTCATCGCAGAAATAACAAAATTTATTCGTCATAGAGAACAGCCACGAAGAAAGTACAGATGCACTTACTCGCAAGGAACAAAATAATGACATTACTTTCTTTCTCACTTTCATATATTAACTCGGGTAAGGCGATGAAGAAAAACTGTTATAATTCAAACTATTAGTTTTAGTCTGAGTGTAAGGTTTTATCGCAACAAGTCAGTGTATTTAAATGGAACATCATTATTTATCATAGAATGACTGATTACCTATGCAGATGGAAAAAGTCGTTCGAGGGGTACGGCGAGTACTCGAAAACGGGCGCCCGCCGAGGACTCGACCCCTCGAAAAATGAGACTTCAGACCCTCGATATAAATGTTCGAGGAGTTATCGATTCCTCGGAGTAGCGAGCCCTCGAGAAAAATTTCGATCCATCGCAGAAGGATGTGCGGGACTTCCGAGTCCTCGCTCATCTTAGGGTGTTACATGCTTTCTTTTAGATCAAAATCAATGTAGTAAAATGACCCTCAGCGTCATAATAGTTATCAGTGCATTAGCAATATTTTCAGCTGGAGAGTAAGCATCGGAGGAGTTTTGCTCTTTTCTGCAAGTACCTGAATTTTGCCTACTTTACTTTAGATGTGCATGGTCTGATGCTCAATATCTGGTACCAAAAGGCGGTATTATCCTATGGTAAGACAGAAGTTCCAATTTGTATTGAAACTCCCCATATTTTTCCTCTATAGGAGCGGTACTGAAAATCGAATTCCTAAAGGATGGGTAGTTTGTGATGGTACACATGGATCACCTGATTTACGTGACAGATTTGTTATTGGTTCAGGTGCGTCGTTCGTTGCTCATTTCATCCTCCGTTGAGAAACGGTTTTTCTTGTTCATCAAGGTGGTGGTGCAACAAATAAACCATTTAGTAGTGGTGGTCTGGCGTCAGTAACTCCTTCAGTTACTGTTCAGGATACTGCATTAACTGAAGCACAAATGCCGAATCATAATCATGGTAGTGAAACAGAAATTGAAGATAATGAAAATATTTACTATGATGCTAGATCCGTGCCGGAGTGGTATGTCTCAACTTCTGAAAACTACAAAGTGAGAACAGATCGATGGCTACAAGTACGAGTTAATCATTGGTCCAACTGCACAAAGTGTCAACATACACATAAAATCCACTCAAATGGTGGAAATCAACCGCATACGCATATAGCAACGTCTTCCGAAATTAGTTTAAATCCACCATTTTACGCACTCATTTATATTATGAAATTGTAATGTTTTCGACAAAACGCATAATATTTTGACATTTATTGAAATAAAGTTCTCCTTCAACTACGTTCTCTATATCACTGTACAAACGAGGCAGAACAACTTTATCCTCAGTCTCATCTGTCTAATCATTATAATAAGTAAATTTTGTATTAGGTTTTTCAAATAACAACCGAGAATAGTTTTAAAATTAAAATTTTGCTGATGTGACGTTTTCAAATCCCTTTTATTGCGAGAGTAAACTATTTTTTCTACTTATACCTACAATAGTTCAAGTCAAATATATCTTAGATCAGTTATTTTCGAAATAATCGTCAGTGTACACGATAGTATGAAACCGTTTGCTAATTTAAATTCGCATGACAAGAAAAGAATGAAATAATATTTTCGATAGGATCTGTGTTTAAAATATATTCAGTCAAATCATTGAACGATAGTCTATGTTCCATACAGTTAACTTACAGTCAAAAGGACGATGATGAACTAAATAACTTATTAGAAGAACATTTCTTGGCTGTTACAAGCGAGCGTGTAACGAAACTAACTGTACGGACCTATTTAAGCGTGGTACGCGAATTTGGTAAAGCTGAACGATATTACACTGTTGCCGAAAGTGCTTCAGTCAGATAGTACTGAAATCGACATGATCATCTACGTTTGCGGTATGAAAGGCAATCATGCAGAAGCATTACGTAATTACCGTTTAGCTTTGGATCAGGCACAACTGGAATAATTTGAACTGGTGAATGAGTGAAAAGACAAGAGACAATGAGCTGAAGCATTCATTCTCTGCTGATATATATGTGCCTTCAATAATTCAAGATAATAGTCTGCAAACAGAAACAAATTAGCATAAGTGGAAGTTCTGCAAACTTAGTAGTTTTTGCAAATACTAAGTTACGTTCACAATTTTAAAACTGTGTTCTCTTTTGTACTCATCTTGGAAATGCTTATATTTAGATCATAACGTTATAAATACACTTTCAGCGTATTTTAATTCTGCAGTCGATAGCTGTACATTCTAAAAAAAAAAGTATTTTAAAAAACCTAAAAAGGTATTTTATTCGACAAAAAACGTTTAAACGTTTTGGTTCCATTTCGAAAAAACGAAAAAAATGATTTTTAATTGTTGATAAAACCATTAGGTTTCTTACAATACGTTCCGTAATCGTTTTCGAGACAAAATAAAAACCCAAAACGTATTTCTTAAAATAATAAAGCCTTAAAGAGTTTCTCATTTTCCGAACGAAACCTAAAAAGGTTTGTTAAAAACCATTTCTCAGAATAAATATTAAACCCAAGTCGTTTAATGCTTTTGCGTCTATAGGGTAGGTTTTTTATGGAAATGAAAAAACGATTTGAGTTTTATAAAATACTGAGTAGGGTTTTTGAATTATCAAAAGGTTTTTTTTTCAGTTTTTCGAAAACCATCTAATATTTACTTTAGTTTTCTCAAATAGTATTTCATAATACGGAGAAGGATTTTTTCTTCTGGTTGAAAAAACCGAAAGTTAGAAAAGCGTTTTTTCTTTGAAACTATTCTACAGGCAGACTCTTTTTAACACTACTATTTCGAAAATTGATCAAGCACGATATGTTAACATTCCTTTTCTTCTTCTTT